CTGCTGCCCTTGATGAGAGGAGATGAACAAAAAGACTGTCAGTTTGTCCTTGTATCGTTGCTTGGTTTTTTTGTGTGATTAATGCATATATGCCGTGGCAAATTTCCTCATAATCATTGGAAATGTATTCAGCGTCTTGGTAGCTTTGGAGTCAATCATGTTGATAGCTGCATCACATATCTTTATCAGAAAAATAGTAAAAATTAATTAAGAAGTTTAAACCGAAGCTTCTTTAAATTTGTGCAAGTATCTGATTCATGTCTACATCTGTTGACTTGTGAGAAATAGAACAGAGAACAGAGTTTATATTGGTTCATATAGAAAAATTTATTTTTTAAGCTTTCAAAAGAAAACCGTGTAGCCAAAATATTACAACTATAATATTATTGAAGGAATTTCTAACCTGTTTGGTCAGTTGATCTTTTAGGTGTGATGCCAATCCATCAGCAAACATGTTATAAAGCCAGCTGCAGAGAAAATCAATCATTTTATTTTAACCTCTCTTATGTTTATAATAAATCACGCTGCACTTTGTTGTGGGTAATTGCATATAGACCTTTTTTTTGGTTTGTTTTTGGAACAAGTTGAAATCAATGAAGACTAGAATTAAGTCTAAATCTACAAATCCTCATTGTAGAATTATAGACCAATAGGCATGCTTTGCAGCTGGTCAGAAACATCATGCCAGAATGCAAGGGACACACTGCCATAAGACAAACAAAGAGCTTACATCATTTAAAATGCTAGTTTTCTTTGTGTTGTCACAGTGGTTTGTTCAGAGTGTTCATTAGGCATCAGAGATTGGAGAATTCCCCGTTTACTGCACTGAATTCTCCAGCTAATATTTGGTAGTGTAGGACACTTTATTATTCAGACATGTAGCCGCTTTCAAAATATTCTCTGGTAACATTACATGCTTCTCCTGCTACTAAAATTCTTAATGAAAACCCTGGCTTTGTTTGTTTGTTGTGCTTCCCAGCATGGTATTTTAATTCGTACATGACTGACCAGCTGAAAAAAGCTCATAGGTACAATGGCTGAAGACTTGTCTTGAGGATGCCTCGCTACTAACGTTTGAAAGAAATTAAGTCCCACTAAGGGCGTTAACAACCACAGACACCCACCAGCAGTCCCATGGGTGACCACAATGAGGGCAGTTGAATATTAAGATTATTATATTGAGGGTAGATAGCTAAGACTGGCAAATTTCCCTCACACCAGGATCTTAAACATAAGAACTGTAGGTTATTTAACTGTACATTATTTATTTAATTTTCTTTTGTCGAAAATCCAATGAGAAACAAATTATTGGTCATTACCTTGCTCCTCCTTTGAATTTGACATGTAAGGTGCCGATGTTTATTGAGCAATCCTTTGCACTGACCTTGGCATCCTTTGTTTCCAAATCACCTTTTAGCCAAAAAAAGAAAAAAAAATAGTCACCCACCGCTAGTCTTGTCAGATCTAATTATGGCACTTCAAAACCCTAGACTGGAAAAGATGTTTACTTTGAACCTATTTTTAAGGGCTGATGTACAGATAAAACAAGTGTATGCAGGTACAGAACCTGTTGAGTGGCACATCACTGCACCATTGTAACAGCATGTTTCTTTTTATGTGCTGATGATCCATGCCGGATCATTATGCGTTTCTGGGAAAGTGCCCACCTACCCTTCCCCTAAGCCAACATTAATACTTACTTCTCAGTTAGGGCAAAATGTTGCCTTAGGGGAGGGGTAGGTGGGCAGTTTCCCAGAAACATATAATGATTCCTGATGCATGTGGTAATATCTTTGTATCACATGATGACTCAGCCTCGAGTTGGGTATATTATAACTAACCGTCAACATAAAAAGCCATTCCAAGTGAAAGATCTTTGACTGACAGCACACATGTTCCTGAATCAGAAATATGCGGCCTAGACAGGAAAAGAAACAACGTTAAACGCAAGGACTGTTACTGTTACTCTGGCCGGTTTCCAGACACTTAAGTTGGATATTAAAACAAACTTCTATATTTCCTTAGTTTTATTCATTTTGTACTTAGACATTGTATATTTGGAATCTTATTTTTTTTTTTGTAATTTTAATTTAGATAGAGGGCCACAAGTTTACTGGTTTCTGTAACTATTCTGTGCTACCCTCTTTAAATAAAGTGTACTATTATTATTATTATTATTATTATTATTATTATTATTATTATTATTATTATTATTATTGTTATTATCATTATTATTATTAAGTAATAATTATTTTTTTATTACTATCTCTCAGTAGAAAGTAAATTTGTAGAACTGAAAGCCACAGCTTGCAGGAGGTAACTGGTTAGCAATTTACAAGCATGCAGCAGAGGAAGTGGACTTGGAACTTGACTAAAAACAAATGCAGCCAGTGGTTAGACTGGGACCCAAACCCAAAACCTCCAGGGTGCGAGGCCCACATACTGACCACTCAGCCATATTGTTCGTCCTTGCTTACCACGCACTTTCCTTATAGTGCCAGGCAGCTTCAACATTCCCTGAGGCATGATCAGCCAAAAGCTTTAAGCCATGCTCTGGTATCAAAGACATATTGGACTTCTGAATCACCACATTTGATAACTTGATCCTGAAAAAAAAAATGTACATTACTGCGAAGACTTTTTGTTTAAATGTGCATAATCCTCCTCTTTGGCTCCACATCCCAAAAGGACTAAGTCTTGCTAGTAAATCCCAATGCCTTCTCCAAATGTGTCCTTAGAGCATTCCACTTCTTCAATGGAACACTTGGAAGATGTAAGGTTTTTCAAAGGATGCATTCATGCAATTTTTCAAACAGGATCATATCTGTCCTCTTCTCCTCAGTCTTTTCCATTCATAAAAACAAGGATGTAGACTTACTTGGAGAGATCATACTGTACATCCCCCAGTGGAGTCTTGATGTTTCCATTGATATTTGGTACACTCAAGTCATTGAGTTCTTTTGCAACAAATGGAAGAATAGTGTGCTGCACTGTCAAAAGCAACAAAAAGAATATTACCAAGAAAATGCTGAGAATGCCAACTAGAGAGACAGGTCACTGTTAAATTTGACCTTAACCGCTGAATGATCACCCTCACCAAATTGAGAAACCTTGTTCACACCTCTTCCTTGATTCTCTTCATTTATTAGGGTAGGCTGTACTCCTTTTCAAACAACACAATAGTTTCTATGTCAGCCAAGTGTCTCATCAGATACTGTAATCTCTAGAGAAAGATCTAAAATCTGGAGACTGTCTGTTTTGTTAAGTAGTACTCCCCACAATATCAACCAATCTCTCCCCTCTTCCAATAAACACAAACCATCCCAGTCCCCAAATTATAACATGAATGTGGCTCAGAGATGAATTCTACGAGGCTGCCCACAGGGTGCCCTGGAACCAGTACCAGGGTACGAGCTCGAAATGGTGTTGTGTTCACACTTTGAGTACCTGATGTGACTGTGTACATACTTACTCCATTTCCCCCTGTTAGATGCCATTTTGAAACATGAGCTTAGCAGCGAGAACAAAGCAGTGGACTGCCCAGAACTTTATACAAAATTAATATTGTGTGCACAAAGGTACCCAGTGCCCACTTTTGTGCCCGCGTACAAGGTCAAGACCTTGTACGCACCCAAATTCTAGCTTGGCTACTTGAAAAAAGGGTGTGTTCACATCAGTGCCCAGCGAGTACTGTACTTGGGCATTGTACCCGGGTACGTACCAAGAGTGAATGCTGCCTAAGTGGATGTCCATACAGTGCCCAGATACTGGTGCAAAAAATAGTGTTGTGTTAACCCCTAAGGTCCCCCATATGTAACTGTGTATGTTGGTTACTCCAGTTCACCCTGTCAGGTGCCACTTTGAAACATGAGCTTAGCTACTAGTAGAAAGCAGTGGACCATCCCAGAACTGAGAAAAACGGTGTGCACACAGGGACCTGGTGCCCACTTTTGTGCCCGTGTACTACTACTGGCTACCCAGACTGTGCCTGAATTCTAGCATGAGTACTTACAAAATTAAAAGGTTGTGTTCACATTAGTGCCCAGCAAGTACCATACTTGGGCACTGTGCCAGGACACCAGGTGTGAAAGCTGCCTTACATGAACTTAAGACTATCAAATTCCCTTTAGAGACTGTAATGACAAAATAATCTTGTCAGTTATCAAAAACATGCCAAAAGACTGCAGAAACATAACTATGACAGAAAAAGGGGAAATTCCTGGGTTCTGTGGCCTTTAGTGACAGACCTGATATCAATATGGTCAATTCATAAGTATTTTATCTTCCGGTCTTTATTTGATTAACTAGTGGAGAGAAATCAATTAAACAGCTGGTGAAGTGAACTATACCAAACTTGACAGAAAGGGGGAAACTTCAGCTACCCTGATGTTAAGAACAAAAACGAACAGAAGCTAAGAAAGATGCCAAGCAGGCGATTACTGTCATTCTTCGTTTCCGTTTGGTTTGTTTTGTTTCTTAGATGTTAAGATAAAAAAAGCAGTCTGAACATGGTAACTAAAAAAAATACTACCCGCTGAGTTTCAAATTGGCACCCCACCGGGAAAGCACAAAATCCTCACAAAACATTGTCAGGTGAATTAGATGTTAAATGGACACCAAACCATCAGAATCATAATAAGAATTCAAACATATTCATTTGAAACTGATACAAGCGAAATTATCTTATCATTTGTTACATTTCAACGTACAACGATTGGACTGTTCGATAATAAGATTTTAAGATTCAAAATAAATTGAGGGTTCCCCGTTCACGCATCACACATAGATCTAAGCTTATCGATCAAATAAAAGCTCGTCAAAAAGGTTTTATGACAAGGTTATAACGCTTAATTCGATCTTTCCTTGTTGTTTCTAACCCTGAAAGTAATGCAAATAATAGTATTACCGTAGTCCGATGCTCTCTTTGTTATCTCAGCTTTCCATTCAGGAGCTAAATTTAAATCCACGGAGACTGATTTCCCCAGAGAATGTTCAATAGATAAAATCACAAACGAAATCAGAAGCAGGCTTCGATCCATAAGTCTGTTGACCTTGAATTGACACCTATAGACCACGTCATTTTTTCCTCCCCTCAGTTGAAGATAACTTACCCTGAAGGACTCATCAAAAATGCATTTTGCTTTGAAATCACTCTCGTAGTGGTCAAACTAATGAAGTTAGCAGGTAATCAGTGATAGTGGCATTTTACAGGTACTTTTTGTGGGCAAAACTTTCACATCTCCCGCCATTTGCTTTTTGTCTGATCACGGGGTCTTGAGCTCACGAAGTCATCCGGAATTTCCCGATTGCGGCCGAAGAAATGTTAAGATGGCAGATGAGGTAACCGGGATCAGAATGGAAGCTCTATTTTGCATTTGTTTTGATTTCATGAACTTGAGACACAACCGGTTTTTCTCTCTTGACAGAATGAGCTGGAAAGGTATAGAATCAGCGAGCTTAGACGGCGATTTTTTCAAGAAAACGGTAAGTTGTAAGCAAGTGTGCATGACAGAGTTCCCCTTTGATCGATGTTTTGCTCGACAGTTTGTCAGTCTCGTGATTTAATTCATGCTGATTTCTTAGGCTCAAATTTGCATGAGTTCTGTGAACAAGACGTAAAAAGAGTTCGCGATGACGATCTTTGGCTTAGCCGGTTTTTACAGGCCCGAAGACAGGAAGTTAATGATGCATTACCGGCCTTGGTGAGCTAAATTACATCCCATAGTAAGCTTACTAGTTCTTTAGAGAGAAAACTTTATAGGGTTATCAGGAACAGATTATTTCCTGCAACCTCCATCTTTGTAGTTATTTTCTTTCTTTGCAACAGTCTTCCATCATAAAGCATCAGTCAATTCCACCTGCACCCAGCAGCAAATTTTGCACTGCCCGAGGGCCGGGCATTTGCCAGCTCCGGCGCCATTCCCTAGCTTTTGACATGCATGCGGTTTCCTATCAGAAAATAACTGCACAGAAGGTTTTAGTGAAAAAACAAGCAGATTGGCTCATGGCTCATTGGCTCAGGAATAAATTGAAGAGAGTTGTAATGGCTTGCCTGCGTCGCAGATGCTCTAAACCTTTTGTATTCTCAATTTTATGCATGCATGCAGGTGGAATTGACTGATGCATAAAGCCACCTTCCCCACCAACACCCTTTGGCTTTTCTGCCAAATGTCTGCCATTTGTCATTGGTCTTGTGTTGCCCGCCTGTCGGTCGTCTGTTGGCAGACTGTTGGTGGAGAGTCTTCTGACGAACAGCCAAAAGATTTTTGGTGGAGCTATTCTTCAGTAATACCAGATGATAGTAATTTTGAAACTCTAATTCTGTTTCAAAGCAAGACAAGTGATTTTTCTTACCTACCCGAAATTTGATGCCAATTTTTTTTTAATTAGTCTGAAGTGACAGCCATCTCTTCAGCCCAACCCCCATCCCCATAGTACACTCTGGCGACTACTATGTTTAGTGGGAGGGTGCAGTGTTCATGATGGGTGAAACGGCCTCTGGTGCAGATTTTGATGTACGTTAGTAGCAAATATTCTATGACTAATATTTCCAACTTAATGTATAAAGGAGTCTGTATTTGCTTCAAAACTGTGAATCCCCCATTTAATCCAACATTTCAAAATACAGATTGAAACCAGCCCCTCTTTCACTTAAATAACATCTGGACTCAAACAAGTACATGACATCTAACCATGTATGGTATCTAGGCTAACTCATAGTTCCTGCTTTTACAAGGTTGAATGTGTGAAGTGGAGAAAGTCATTTGGAGTTAATGGTATGATCATAAAAATTTATCAACAAACAAATAATAAATTATTATTGGTATTTCATAGAATGATATGAACAACTCTCGCTCACTAAATTAACTCAACTAAGTTAAAGTAAGATTTTGTGACTTGCTGTTTTTGTCAAACAGAACTTACAGAAAGATCTATTGACCGTAGACTGTTTGAGGCAGGTTTCCTCTTTCCACACAACCAAGATAAAGATGGCAACACTCTGGGTAACTCATGTTATTTTTTAATGCTGCTAACTACTTTATTTTATATTATATTATAGGTCATTATATTTTTTATATAATATATTCTGTCAATCGGTCGTTGAATGAATTTTTTTTCCTTTAGTCATCTTCACAGGCAAATTGCACAAGAAAGACCCCCAGCAATCCTCAGAAAAAAAGAGATTTCTTGTTTTTCTCTTAGAAAAGCATGTAAGTATGAACCAATGTGATCAAGAGTTATATTAAACTATAGTTTCTCCAATCATATGTCAACTTTGGCTGTTTGAAATATCATTTTTTAGAAGAGTAATTTAAGGAATGTCTGGAACAAACCCTGAGTGACTTCTGACAAAAATTAATAGAAATAATAGTAATTATCAGTGGCGAATCCAGGGAAGGGGCCCCCCTTATTTTTAGACCAAACTGAGGCCCGAAGGGCCACAAAATTTTTTAGGGGGACCAGGCCCCCCATTATCTGAGGTTCTGAATCCACCTCTGATAATATCTTACTTTTGCAGGCAAGAATGTTTCCAGAACGGAAAATAACCATGATCTTTGACATGCAACAGACAGGCCTGGCTCAAATGGTTTGATTTATAATGTTACATGCAAGTTATGTTTATAACTTACTCTTTCCAGGAAACTGCACAATTGGGTAGCTAATGGAAAGGGTTTTTTTGTTTTGCAGGACATGGAATTTATAAAATTTATTATTAGTTGTTTTAGGGATTATTTCCCAAGGACTTTAGGTGAGGATCATGTCTTGTCTTTTCCCCACAATTTTTAATTATGTTAATGTATTTTCTTGACTAAGTTGTAGTTAGTCGGTCACAAAATTTTGAGCCTAAGCATCGATGTTTTCGCATGGATTCTATTTTCCCTTTTGTAGTTTGATAGTTCAGTTTGATGCGGTTGCATAAACAAGTTTTTTCAAGTATCAAGTATTGTCGATGTATTTGTATTTGCTGGCGAAGGAGCGGTGAAAGGGAATGGTGGATTAAACAAGATTTAACAACGTGAGGACTAGAAATTTGTACCGAGTGCGTGACCTTCTTGCAAAGTACATCACAGATCAAGATATATAATATTTGTTGTTCTTGACATAGTGCTGTGTCAGATCTAGCTCATGTGTGCACCATTATTAAAAGCAAAGTCTACTAGATGCAAATTTCAAAAGGTGTTAATTCAAATATAAAGTAAAACCAACAACATTCTTTTCCCCTCATCCTTAGCCTTGTTATTAGTTATTGAATTACCATGGATTTTATCAGGTATGGCTTGTGAATTGATACTGCAACGCATTTCTTAGTGTATTTTGTCGTGTTCATTATATTTTATTCAATTCTATTTCAGTGTATTCCATTCCATTCTTTTCTGTTCTATTCTATTCCATTCTATTTTATCCCATTCCACCGTATTCTTTTTTTATTCTCTTTCATTCTTTTTCTTCCATTCTAGACCATCTTGTTTTCTTTTTTCTTTTCATTTTGGTTGCTAAGATTAGTGCTATGTTATTTGACTCATTTTTGTCCTCCAATCACTTTGCAAACTGTGAATATACTTCATTAGGTGAAGCGTGCTGCCTAGAACAAGCAGTCTTGATTAACAAAATATTCCTGTTTTACTGTTTAAAATGAAAGTGTTTCCTTCATAGTTGGTAAAGTGTTTTTTGTGTTTTTTGATATTCTCACCAATAACAGCTGCTTGGAAAATTATCAAGTCATGGTTGAGCCCTGAAGCTGTGAATAAAATCAGGTATGAGCTAACAATAATATTAAGCTTCACCTGAATCCATTGAGGTTGTTCAGATATCAAATTTCTACAATTTTAGCTTTCAGACTGGTTTGTCATCTCCCAGCAAACCCCATTTCAATCCCCTACAGCATGTCTCCATTTCATGCCCTTGCTACTTGTCCTTATTCTGTGCCCCTTTAACATGTCCCTATCTTATGCCCCAGCAGCATGTCCCCATTTCATGTCCCTGCATCATGTTCCCATTTCACCCATTTCAACTTAAAATTTCTTTTCACTCTGACCTCAAGCAGATAACAATTATCATAAATTTGCTACATACGCGCTTTTAGTCAGCATTTTTCTCCAAAAGACACACTACTCTCTTTCACAAACAAAATGAGTAACCGCAAGCAATCTGGACCATCTAATTATCAGCCTATACCAAGGCCTATGACACTAATGGGTATTTTGCAACATGTCATTATTTCACATCCCTGTGACATGTCCTCATTTTTGTCCCTGCAACATGTTCTTATTTGAATTCACATCCTTGCAACATTGGTTCCATTTCATTCCCCCTGCTGCATGTTCCCATTTCATGTCTGTGCTACTTGTCCTTATTCTGTGCCCCTGCAACATGTCCCTATCCCATGCCCCTAGGGCATGTCCCCATTTCATGTCCCTACAATGTCATGATTTCACATTGACATTTCCTCATTTTACGTCCCTGCAACATGTCCCTATTTAACGTCCTTGCAGCATGTCGTTATTTCACATCCCTGTGACATTTCCTCATTTTATGTCCCTGCAACATTTCCCCATTTCACGTCCTTGCAACGTGTCGTTATTTCACATCCTTGCAACATGTCGTTATTTCACGTCCCTGTGACATTTACTTATTTTACGTCCCTGCAACATGTCCCTATTTCACGTCCTTGCAACATGGTTCCATTTCATTCCCCCTGCGGCATGTCCCTATTTTATGTCCTCACTACTTGCCCATATTCTGTACCCCTGCAACATATCCCTATCTCATACCCCTAGAGCATGTTCTAATTTCTCATCCCTGTGACATGTCCGTATTTCACTACCTTGCAACATGTCCTTATTTCACATCACCTTGCGACATGTCCTTATTTCACATCCCTGTGACATGTCCTAAGTTTACACCCCTGCAACATGTCTCCATCAGTTTTATGCCCCTGCAACATGTACCCATTTCATGCCCCAGTCTTCAGGGTTGGTAATGTTGTCCTTTCTCTTTTCTTGCTGGCTCAGTCAAATATGGTAGTGATGACAGTTGAATGTGGACAATTTAATAGCAACAGTCTGAGACAAAACCCTAAGTCATTTCAACAAGTGATTCTTTTATTAAATTTTGTAACAATGTAGGTTTTTAAGCAAAGCGGAACTAAAAGAACTTGTAGATGAAGATAAACTTCTCACCAGATTAGGTGGAACTGTGAGTACCAGCATTTTAGTGATTTTGCAAATAAACCTGCATAGTTTCCGTTTTTTTAGTTTCTACCATCAATGAGGAGTAAAATTATAATCAATCTGGACTTAGCTTATTTGTCAAAATAACCTCGAGTTCTTATTTTGTTCTCTTTTTGTTCTTTCATTGATAGCCTGCGTGGCAGGCGTTTGAAAGGGAAGGGAAAGGGAGTTTTAGGTGCTCCTCGCGCCCAAAACCCCCTTTCCCTTCCCTTTCAAACGCCTGCCACGCAGGCTATTTCATTGAAGCCCATAAAAGCAAAATGCGAAGACCAATGTCCATCTATTTTGACCAAAAAATATGGACGTAATATTTTCTCTATCTTGCACGCTCAAAGAAAAAGCCATCGCAGGTATCCGCGTTTGAAAATGAAGGAAGAAAGGGAGAATTTGGGTGCATGGGAATGCGAAGAGTGCCTGGCTGCCCTACAGGTTAGCTGGGTTAGCCACAAAACTTGCCAAGTGTGATCCTGTTATTTTAGCAACAGTTTCTACCCTTTTGGCTCACTGCCAGCATTAGTGTTGTGTTTCTACTTCCCGTTGTACCAAAGTGAAAGACATGCAAAATAATGTTCAACTTTGTTGTACTGAAACTGAAATGTGATTTGTAGGATCCCTATCAGTACTCTTATCCTCCCACCAAAGAATCTCTTGGAATTGGAGATCCAGACAGGTAAGTTCAGACTTAAGTAATTTAACTGTTACATTGCTACCTTGCAAGCGGCCTCTCCTTACCTTTGTGTCTTCTTGACTGAGGAGGAGAAAGGGATGCTCTACCTGAACCTCGTCAAGCGTTTGACGTCGCCAAATCCCGAACTTCTTGACTAGTCAATCTTGTTTTCTCTTGTCAAACTGGTTTTCCGAGTTCGATCATCGGTTTATTGAACTAAACCCGCTGTACCAAGCAAACGGCTCTATTAGGCCTGGGTTCGGAACTGTATCCTAGCAACACACAGCACAGTGTATGCTCAACGAAGATCTTACTCGATTCATTTACAGTCTTTCTCGAGAACGCCAAAATCGAGCCAGTAAAAGAAAGACTCTGCTAGCATTGCGCTACTTTGCAGGACTAACCTTTCGGAGAAGGCTTTGTTAATGACATGTTTCACTTCTTTTTAACAGTATAGAGGAGGCTGAAATTACAAACGGGCCTTTGAGCCAAAGTGTGGACTTGGATGATGATAGCAGTGAGGAGTTTTCCAATCAGATTGCATCGCAGTCTGAATCGCAATCCGAGCGTGAGGAAGCCCCTGTTCCTTCATCTAAAACGGTGAGAATCAGTTCAATTTTGACTTGGCACTGGTTACATCTCCCTATATTGCGAGATCACTTTATTGTCGTCATATTTACATAATAAAGAGATTAAGATTAACCTTAACCGCAAACGGCAAACGTCAGACTCAAGTTGAGAATTCTCAGAATAGAAAATAAGCGGACAGAAACAGTCCGAACGATTCCTATGGTTAAAACTGGCATAAAACTACTTATTTTTGTGTAGAAGCAACAAAAAGTAAACGGAAAATAAGGGGAAAACTTGGTACAGATTCACGTCTGCCGTTTGGCGTAAACGTGAATCGTTTAAAATCTGTCTAATATTGCCAAAAAAGTCGGAAACTTTGGCTTCTCTTAGTTTGAGCGCTTTTGCGAAATTTCGCTTCTGTTTGTTGTATAATCGTTAAGTTAAAATTCACTTACCAGCCTCTGTTAGCAAATTTGTATGTTACACTGTCCGGACGTTTTAACTACTTACTGCTCTACAAACTCCCTTATAGCTGCAGAATTAAGACTGACTTTGTTGGGATTGGCTGTTTCAGCCTTTGTTTTTCTGTTTTGCAGCTATCGAGCCGGAAGGACAGTTAATTACCGAAATTCTTGTTGATTCGTTTCAGGTTACGTTTGAAGATGCAAATTCTGCAGCAAACTACGGCGTTGAAAACTCGCTTCCTTCAACAAATATAAGACAGGTAGCCGTTGGCTCCCTCACGTAGTCTGAATTGTGTTTAACAGTGTTTTTGCTTAAGTTATCTTGATATTAGTGGCTCAGAGGTCGATCGAGTCGAAAATTTCAGGTACAGATTTTTAAATTCTGTCATTTTTTACTGGACTTGTGCTTACGCATGATTTAATTCATGTTCCTTTAGTAATTCGTTCGCTTTCTAGCTGAAGCTTGCCGTTCGGACTCTTTCACTTGTCAAAAACGCACGCGACTCTGTTAGCGTTTCAATCTAAGCTTTCACTTAGGACAGACTCTTTTGTTTTTCCGTTGTTCGTAATTATGATGCTTCCAGAATCAAATGAAGGTTTTGAAATCTGTTTCTTTTGTATTTTTTTGTAGAGGGAAACCCCGTCTAAGCCAACGTTACGAGCCGTTCAATCGCGGTCATCCCAAAGACGTGCTCCCCCTGATGGGTTTGTGAACACATCTAAATTGCTTCTAATTACGTAAGTATGTTATATTTCGTGTCCTAGTGTATGTAGTAAATACAGTCGTACCTCCCGTAAGCGACCATCCAAAATGCAAGAATTTAGCAGTCGCTTACGAGAGTCGTCGTCGAACCAGAGGGGATCTACTTTTTATTTATTGCACGCAATTTCAAAGTTTTACTACGTTTACGTATTACGTGTAGTTCCATGTAGTCACTGAAAATTCTTCGTATACTCTGAGTGGCATAGCAAAGGCACAAACTGCAAAGAGACAACGTCTGATGCGTCAAGTGGTCGCTTACGAGAGGTCTAAAAGAATGGAAAACTGCATGCAAAACTGTCAGGCTTAAAAGTGGGTCGCGGTCGCTTTTGAGAGGTGTTTCTCTACGAGAAGTTCTAATAACATGGCTGTTTTGTTTTGATTGCAGACCCCCGGAGGAGTTAGTATTTATTGGAACGACTTCAACTGGGGAAATCCTCCAATCTTTGTCCCTTGCCAATAACACTGTATCATCCGTCGCGTTTAAGGTTTGTTTCTCTTTCGACTCTGTTTGAAAAACTACGATGAAGAACATTCAGTAAGTCACTGGGAAGAATAGGAGATGGGTAAAGGGTGGAGACGACTAACTTTTTAGATTGTCACCTTTCTCTCCTCACTCGCGTTTATTCAGGTCAAAACCACCTCTCCAGAGAGCTATCGCGTACGCCCCAGTTCTGGCGTCATCCCCGCCAGCTCATCCGCTGAAGTCAGCGTCTTTTTACAACCAGGTAAGAAAACATTACATGTAAAACTTCAAGCTGAAAAATATCACTCAAAAACTCTTTCGGTGCTGGTTTCTAGTTCACCACCACGCTGAACGCTATCAGTATTACTGATCCTAACAGTATGCAGGACGCCTACCACATAACGTGTGGCGAATGCTCAACTTCTCGCCTCTCTTCTCCGCAGAGGCTCCCACTGTGTATTCAAGTAAAGATAGTGATAATCTAAAAAGTTGGACGGTGGGAAGAGAGAAAAGGCGGAGCTTCTCTTCCTCTATTTCCCCTTCCTATCATCCTCCTCGCGCCTTCTTTTTCCCTCTCCCCAGCCTCCCTACGAAACAAAGAGGCCTCTGTGGAGGGGACTAGGGGAGGAAGCCTTCTCTCCATACCTCAGTGTTAACAGAGCCTGTTTAGTGTCTGTGACGTTATGGGCTCAATTCATGTTGGTGTCGTTGCTGGTAAAGTATTTCTTCTCTCTCATTTCTTTGGTGTTTTTTACGAACGACAGGTCACGCTGCAAGTGTTATTAGAGATAAATTCTTGGTTATGTCGACCGAGTTGCAGGAAGAAAGATCCCCAAGTGAACTTGCGGCACTCTGGAGGACGATACCTAAGGCGAATATTGTGGAACACCGGTGAGTCAATTTAGCAATTGCAAAATATGCAATGGAGGCTAGGAAAAAGGACTTCGTCAAGAAATTATTAATCTCCAAATTTAGCCTGAGTATCAGGCGTTTTGGGGGGAAAAGAGGAAAGATGGAAGCTAAAAATCTCCTCTCCCCTAGCCCCTTAGGAAGGCCTGATACTCAAGCTATCCAAATTTGAAAAATAAACAACCAGGTCGAATCTTTGGCAAATGCACTAAAAAACATGACAGAAGTAGCGTTACAGCTTGAGCAGAAAAAGAGGAAAAAGTAGCCGCTGTTTTAATTAGGGACACCTTAAACGAAACACGATCGCTAAAAGAATGTATTCGATGATAGGTGACTAGTTGGCTATGTATGATAGCTTCATATTTAAATGAACTCTCTTGTTTTATTTCAGACTTCAGTGCCGTTTCGTTGCATCGAATTCCCAGTTACAGTATTCCGATATTGTGGACGGTAAACCTGTAACCCTTAGTATGGCCATCGATAGCATTGAATCACTACAAAGACAACTTAATGACGTTGAGAGGAAGGTGAGTACATTATTGTTCAGTAAAAAACAATCAAGAATTCAAGGGCTAGTTTTTATTGGCAAATTCGCGGGGGACTGGGTCGGTGTTTTATCAAATTGCACCGTGGGATTCTTTTGGGGCCCTAGCGCTACTTTAATTGGCTATTGCGAAAAATATTATCAAAAACAGTCGCATAGGGCCATTCAATACAACAAGGCCGACCCAGTCCTCCACGTAACCTCAAACTGGCCAATAGAAACTGCTGTGCAGCTGGCCTCGTTCCCAAGGGGCGGGAAAAAGAGAATCAGGGGAAGCTGAATGGTCAGGAATGTGGTAAATTGGCCATCTTTGAAGAGGTTTCAAAATTGACGGCCGTCATAGTGAAAAAATACGGTTTCAAGTAATCTCGAAAGTTGATCTGTGAGTGGATACTTTTCGCCCCGTGAGTAAGTGTACAATTGTCAGCAATACCGTCAATTGCTGCTTATAAGTCCGTACATCTTCGTAAGGGGTGTAAGGAGGGCTTCTTAAAGGGGGGGCTTATATCCGAGTGGGCTTATAAACGGAGGGGCTTATATCCGAGGGGGCTTGTACATCTTTGTAAGGGGTTTTAGGAGGGCTTATAAACGGAGGGGATTATATCCGAGAGGGCTTATATCCTAGGGGGCTTTTAAACGGAGGGACTTACATCCGAGGGGGCTTGTACATCTTCGTAAGGGGTTTCGGGGGGGGGGGGGG